GGTTGAAAAGTATTTGTCACGTGCATCTAAACAGCGTTGGATGTATCAAAGAAGAGCTTGTATCCATTTTTGTTTTGAGATCACTTTAGCCACCAAAGAAGGGAGTGTAATAGCTTAGGTTGATTGGTTAAGAGTTGACCTCAAACAACTCAGTATATTTCATAACAATAGAGTTCAAGTATTCATTCACCACCTTATTTTGTATCAGCTTTGGATTTCTTATTATCTTATGTTGAATGTTGAGAGGCTTTTTTGTTTTCTTACTTTTTCGTACATAAGATGTCTACACTACGTCTATTTCCTCCAAGATAACCAATCCATTCTGGAAGCCAAATATGTTGAACCGAACAATTATCAATTATATTTATGTATTTCCTTGTTGTACCTTATTATTTTATGTAGACAGTGGACCAGTTCTTCGGGTCTGGTTGGTTTTCATCATTGCCATTAAAGTAGATTCTTCTATCTTTTATACTTGAGAGTGACTCAAGAGACAGGTGAGGAAACACCTGATAGCCGGACAGAGCATGAAAAAATCGTACATCACCAGCATAGTGTTGGGTAGCCTGCTCTCGGCACTTCCTCAGATATTTGTGATCCATGATCTCACACTTTTTCTCTTGCAAGCGAGTGGCGAAACAGTCAGCGATAGTTGTAGAAGAAATTACATGCTACAAGATAAGATGGCAGACTAGTTGAAGATGCCACAGGTATTTGGAGTTTGACAACGCTTTAACCAGTAACACCTTTTACTGTGAATCGTACTCACCAAGTAAAATCAAAAGACAGGAGTGAAGAGGTTCGAAGATATATTTGATAGGTTATCAATATGTCGAGGATCGTCTGATCTAGTCCGGCTAGTGATTGCAGGGCTTGTTGAGCACGGTGTCCCCACTTGTAATCTGATGCGGATGCATAACGCATGGCGCGTGCATGCGCGTTCGGCTAGGTGAGTCCATTAAAATTGATGTGGTCAACATCCAACGTCGAAGACTCATATAGCTATTGATTCTGAGGAGCTATTTACTGCTACATAGTAAATGAAGAGACATCTGTGGACTATCCGCGATTGCTGACGGAGTTAGTGGTCATTGATTGGAAGTCAAACAGTCAGCGAGTTGGCGAATCTCAATTGGGTTGTGGAAACAGAACCAAAGTGTTTTTGATAGATAGGTTAATCGAACCGACGTTCCTATGGAAATCGATCCTAGGGAGAAGCTAATGTAACAGTTTAGGTTGATTGATTAAGAGTTGACCTCAAACAACTAAGTATATGTCAAAACAATAGAGTACAATTATTCATTCAACACCTTATTTTGTATAGGCATTCTAATTCCTATTATCTTATGTTGAATGTTGAGAGGCTTTGTTTATCTGAACAAATAATCCCACGCTTGAATGTGATTGCGCGAAGATCTAAATAAAGACCTACCTATAGCTCGAGGGTTACCTACAGGTGCGAAAGGAGCACAGAACATATATTTTCTCATCAAATTCCCTCAGACCTTACATTGTGATTCATTTAATATTGCTTAGGCTGAGTTAACCACAACTTATAATCACTGTGATCAATTTCTAAAAGTTGAGATTACTTAGTCACAACATTGTCTATCTCTATAAGTAACAGTTTGTGCTTATCTTCCTGGTTGTCATCACTCATTCAGTTCAACCCTTTATGGTATACAATAAATATCTTGACAAAATATATACGGAAGAAAAACCCAGTATCAAAAAGAAGGGAAAAATATAGGTAGATATTTTGTACTTATTTCGGAGAAAAAATATACCAGCCTAAGGTATCTGTACAAGAAAATGTTAGTGTGCACATAAAACAGAACTTTTGTGTTCGAAGAACAAGCTCACTAGTTGTTGTACCCCCCTTTCGGGTAGATATATAGAAGAGTTTGAGATGGCCGTGGTAGGTTTGTTACATAATGTGTGGGACATATAGAACGCGACACCTTAATCTGAACGGGTAAACCTCTCACCATCCAATTTCCAAAGAAGAAACGTAGTGCCAACATACAATAATCAATTAAATAACTGGTCTGCCAATAATGACTTTATCTTTATAGGAGTTTATCGAAAAACTCTTAACCACCTAACTTGGGTAGCTAAATTTTTTCATCAGTCAAGAGAATCGTTTTTACTATCGGGCTCACGGGTAAAATAAGTCGCCAATACATAGAGCAGGGTGATTATGTATAGAACACCCCAACGTTATGCTACGACCTGGGTAAATGGTAACGAAATTCATTCCAACAGCAAAAACAAGCGTCGACAACAATTAATTGTCAAATCAAGTTACACGACTCTCATCAAAAACGGTCACACAGTGTCCGAGTAATTAGAAGGTAATCAATGGAGAATTCACTCTGACTAGTATAAATCCCACACTTCTCTCCTAGTTTGCCGCAGCCGATGTACGAGCGCCAATAAAGAACAAGTGTTCAAGTCCCAACGAAAGCCAACGTATCAACGCCCATAGAAGGTAACTGGAAACAAATGAATAAGGACCAATTGTTTCGGTACGATATGTCCTTTGGCAGATTTAGTTATCTAACCGCAACATTTATAACGCAACATGGAGAGGAAGTGAAGTTAGTTGACCCTAGTCAAACACACATAAGAAAATCACCATCCAAAGAGTACAATGAAGAACAGGTTGTAGTAAAGGAGAACACAGGTGAGGACAACCGAATTATATTTAGCACAACATTACAGAGTTAGTTGGTAAAATAGAAAAACCATACTATTATACTTAGTTCGCAAAATGTTCGATAATTATTCCGAGCTTCATTGTTATTGCATTTCCATACTAATTGCTTCTATTCCCTCTCTTCCTTTCTTGATCTTCCCCATTTTCTGCTGCCAAACATTACATTCTTGACTCGCATTATGTACTACTTATATCAATGTAAGTATCACGCACCACAGTGTTACTCTCGTAAAATAAGATAGTAACCGATTTTGAATACGTTTACCAATACTTTCATCCTAGCATCAGGCACGGTTGGTACTTAGCTCCCTACCCTTTGCAGCCAAAATGGTTCTTAATAAATAATGCAAGACCTGTTAGCTATATGAATAAGTGTTAAATTCGTAAGTTCGTATAATATGTAAGACTTGTCAGTTAAATCCCAATTTATTTCTCCCCATTGGATTCACACAACACACTGCATAATAGACGACTAAACCCAAGACAATACTTACTATTTATCCAAGTAGGTCGATTACAAGCATGACCAGATTGCTTCTCACAGGGTTCCTATGTATAGTTGGTTTATGAATATTTTTTCTTGTACATGTTAGCCAAATTGAGTAGTGAAAATCACTTCCAAATAAATATAAGTTGAGTAACCCATTTTATTTCACTCACATTTTCATGCTCCTTTAACAGTGAAATCTTATTTGTTGAAGCAATCTCATAGAAAATCTCATGCAAAATGATTTTTAAGTGCTTCTTTTACCCACTAAACGAACGGGATTATACATTATATGACACCGTTTGCATGGCAACATGATTATTAAGGATAAAATAACCCCATCCCACACATTTTTAACGACTAACGTGATGTTAAGTCCTTAGCGGGTTGATTTTAACTTGAATTTAGGTTGCGTCATGAGGCACTGTGAAGAGTAGTGGTTGTGAGGAAATGTGAACGACAAAATAGTGAGAGAAAAAGTAGTATGACGGCTGAGTAAGCACAAAAATCCGCTTAACTTCTAAGATGGTTCAAATGGTTCAAATGATTGTGGATGGAATTGAAGAACCTTTCGCTTAATAGGCTTCCGTGTCTAGTAACAAGGGATCACCAAAACCTCCAGGCAGGAACCTAGGTATATTAACAATAAAAGAGGAAAAAGATATTGGTAAATCATTGTGTGACACTATCCTTAATCCTTAAGAATTGATCAAGTTTCCTCTTAAAGGACTCCTGGGAAGTCACTTGGACTAGCTTGGATGGCAGCGAATTACAGCATTTGATAACTCTTAAGGAGTAGAAGTTGTGTCTACATTCCGTTCTGCTATGTTGTGTCTCCAGTTTTTCGGTGTTACCCCTTAGGTTAGTGTTGGAACTAAGCTTAAGTAGGTGTTTGAGAGGATGTCCAAAAGTGTTAAGGATACTGTAAGTCATCAGAAGGTCACCTCTGAGACGTCTATACTCTAATGGGTAAAGGTTAAGTGAATGGAGGCTTTCTTCGTAAGGTTTAAATTTGAGTCCTCGAACTGGTTTCGTGGCTCGCCGTTGGATACGCTCCAGTATGTCCTTATCCTTTTGGAGTGAGGGGGGAAATACTATGTTTCCGCACTCTAAATTGGGACGGATAAAACTATTGAAGATTACATGGAAAGTTCTTCCGTTAAACTGGCCAAAAATGCGCTTCAATGTTATCAGTTTAAGGTTCGCTCGGAAGGCATTTTTGTCACAGCGTAAGACTTTAAATCGTAGGGCACCAGGACTCCTAAATCTTTTTCGACTTGGGATACTACTAGAGAGGAGTTTCCTAAGTTATAACTGCAGCCTTCGACATATCGCAGATGAACTACTTTACGCTTTGAAGTGTTAAAGGTAAGTCCGTTATCGTCTGCCCAACTTTGAAGTCGGGTCAGCTCCTCTTGAAGTGCCTGTATATCGTCTTGGTTGCGTATCTCTCTCCAAAGTTTCACGTCATCGGCAAGAAGTAATAGGTCTGATGTTACCTATTGAGGAAGGTCACTTATGTAGATCAATAAGAGAAGAGGTTCTAGTACTGAGCCCTGGGGGACCCCACTAGGACATTCCATAGCCCGAGATAAAGTGAAATTAACCCTGACCTTAAAATGTCGATTTTTCAGGTATGAAGTTAGCCAATCGATTAGAGCAATCGACGAAAATCAGCATTAACATCGGTATCAGATTCGGACGATCTGATTACCAAGACTAGGTAGCGTTTAGTCCTTTTGCGCTACAGTTGAAGGTCGCTCAAAAGACTACCTACTATCTAATGGGCCAATCAGACCACAGGCCGTTATAGTTTAGACGCGCTACCTATAAGCGGTCGGAAACAAGAGGTTTGTGTTGATAAACACGGCAGGATCAAACTACATCTAAAGTTCCGAAAAAAAATTCTTCAAAAATAATCATGAGGTTTGACAAACTTTTTTTATAGCTTCTGTTCAACACTAAATACAACTCTTTACAGATGGAAAGCTATGCTGCAAAACAATCTTATCCTTCTGTCCACTTTCATAGGAATTGGAGTAGGGGTCATTCTGGGTGTTATGCTAAATTTCTTTACTGTCCCAGAACATGTTTTATTGTGGATAGGTAGTTATATGTAAACTGTTAATAAATAATAGGTCTACCTGGGGAACTTTTTATCAGATCATTAAATTTTGCTGTTATCCCTCTGATAACCACGAATATAATGTCAAGTAATCTCCGTGTTCTGTAGAATTCCTGAACATCTAATATGTGTAGTGTCGTCTAAGCTGAAGCCTTCAGTGCAAGGGAAAATGGCGTTACTTGCTCTAGGATATTGTGTTTCGATGAATATTTGTGGGGCTTTTCTTGGTCTCGGTATTACCGCACTTATCGACCCAGGTCCATGAAATTTTTTCCCTAATCGTTTATTTTAGGTGGTAGATTCACTACAAGTGTTGAAAAGTCGAGTGGATTGTCAAAAGTCTCCAGGAAAGTCGAAATCTCGGACGTATTTCTAGACTTCTTCAGGTCAGTTTAAGCATTGCATTTAAACTCCATGTAATTGGTTTCGTGTGGGAAACCCCTTAAATCCACGGTACTAAGCTATCTGTAGACGCACATGCCTTGTGGGCAAACACTGACAGCTTATTTCATTGGTAACTGTATAATTCTGGGAAACTTACTACTGTACATTGACTTCTTATCAACCACTCTACTCATGAGCTAGAAGTGATCTTTAAAAAAGCTACATCATAGTTTCTGAATGAATTTTTAATCTCCTGCGTTTATTCATTCAATATACATTGTAACTCTCTTCCCTTATAAGAATTTTTCAAATATCCTTGTCGTTATAACAGTCCAAACTTTATTATGTGGTTTTCTTAACATATCATCTATTATTTCGTCAATTAATATTGTTTGAATGTAATGTAATATACACCATGTCATCATTTCAAGTGTACTTGACTTGGTGACTGAAACCCCGAATTCTCATGTGAAAAGCACAATTTCGTTACTCTTAATGATTTCAGTTTCTCGAAGTGTTTTGGAATTGTTCAGGCCCGTGACTGTGTTGTCACCAGTTTCTCTCCCCCTCTCTGGCTATCTTACTACTTACATCCAATACATTTTATATCGAATAAGACATGTATTCACTGTTTTTTTATACAACTTATAGTGATGACTTTCTGTGTTAATAAATAATAGGATTATGGCTATTTTATTCCAAAGTTACCTGTCATTTTAGTGTTTTTTTACTTCGGCTATTTAACTTAGCCTTATACCCATAATATCAGAGAGTCCTCATACTGCTTAACCTGTTTGGCTATGTTCCAAGTCTGAATATTTTATAACAAACAACCTGTCAGATTTCATCTACTACAGACATCATTTTGCGTTTTGTATTTTCATTTATAATCTTTATGAAATCAGTTATAATAGCTGTTGATTGTCTTATTTTTTGTGTCAACGTATCTATAAATCCACGGAGTAGAGTATGTAATGTCAACTGGTATTTCTTTTTAGGTACAGAAATAAATTTGTTTCAATCTATGCTTCGATCCATCAGAATGTAAAATAACTTGTAAAGATTAATTTACAACGACATTTCGTTTCATCCTGTATAATAGGGACTGTGTGAATGACACGTATTTCGTGAATAGTTTCAGTTCATGTGTACTGATGGGGTACAAAACTTGTAGGTACAGAAAATTTAATAGCTTGCTCAAAATATGAAGTTGATAATGTATATGTAGGTCCATTAATGAACAGGAAGATAAGCAACTATACCTAAAAATTGACGAAGTACTAACCCGAATCTTATGTTTAGAGGAGCGACTTTATCAGGGTTTGAGATACTACTAATCAGCGATTTGCAGAAACAATCAAGTTCCTCTAAACCGTTTGTTTACTGAAATGATGATGAAAACATTAAAGAGATCATTTTACTTGTTCGGAATAGGTTCGTAATGGTTACATAGAAGTTAGACTTGGTTGGAGGTTTGTAAGTTATCACATAACTTTCCTTCTTTCACAGGAACATTTATATGCATTTTCATGGTTGTTTCATGAATTATAGTTTGCATACGCACAAATTATAGTTTTAATTATCAGTGAACATTTATTACAGCCTATGGATTCTAACAATTCTTAAAAATAAATTCATTTTTATTCTGATTGCATTTTCAGTGTAAACTATATGATCTGCACTTAAATAAAAACAAATTTTTTCGCTTAAATGTTTTTAGAAATATGATTCCTGATAACATTGTTAGGATGTTTTTGTTTTCGGTAAGTTTTCAGTAGGCAATTACTAATGATAATGTCATTATTTAAATATTTGTAAACGAAATTGTGCGATATTCTCCTTTCAAAGTCTTTCAAAATCCATGTAACTCCTTTGTAGCTTATGTGTATAATTTAAGGGTTATTTATCCCATTCGAATGGATAATAAAATTAAAATTCTAATGCTCAATTAAAAGAGTTTTCATGAATAATAAAATAATATTTAGACGATAATTTCACCATGTATTTGCGCGGACGACTACCATAGTTAAAATCGTAAGATAATGATAGTATTATAACCAACAGTTCTTATTTTACCTACATAGTACTCATTTAACTTATGGTAGCATTTTATTTTCATTTCTATTATCGAATGTTACAAACGTACGTACGGCAATTTTAGACGTTGCAATTTGATTAGCATTAACTTACAACTACTGTTAACATTTTATAATTAGCTGTCACATTAGTGACCATAATGAATCAGCAGCTTAATGGGCCACATGCGTTATGAGTTCAACTTCCACCCACCATTCGAAGTACATTTAATTTGGAAAATTCAGGCATTGTCGAGATATTAGTTCCGTCAACCCACATGATAGTATAAATAGTGAAAATTAAAAATCCCTACAAATAATCAGCTTGAATTTATTGTGTATAAGATATCTACCCGTTCAAAACGTATTCTACGTTGTGTTTAAGTAGTCAGTCTACACAAAACTGAGAAGTTATTATAATTTAATAAGCCTCATTATAAAGATTTTTGTTATCATCGACAATGCAGACAATTATTTTCCATATTCTTTTGTAATTAACTACCGTGATGTGTATTATTGCTATTCAAAATATGATACTACTTGAATATTTGCCTCATCATGTATACGGTGTCTAGTCTAAGTATTCAAAATAATACTTGATACCAGATATTAATGAATATATATATATATATATATATATATATACCAGTCGAGTTTCACATTGAGTAGTGAAGGCGAAATTAAAATACTAGTATATGTACGAAGAATATTCTTTACAATAAATTCTATTCATGTTCCACAATTTAACAATTTAAATTAAAATTTCGTTGATATTTTGGTCTGGTTTCTCAATTTTCCCTTTATCTTTGGATCCGTTAGGATTCTCGATTGACTAGTTCAGATAGACATAATTACAGTAAAGGTCCTTCTACAAACCTTTGTTTATAATTTCTGTCGATTAGATCAATTTACTTTGAGAAGTTGTAACTGTTATTTTTACAATATTTTGGTTGTGATTCAAGCAACTAGGCATTAGAATTTCAACCACTAGATTATAGATTCAAATCTATATCCACGTTCTTTTATTGTCATGCAAGCAATATCCTCACCCCTAACATAACATGTGTTACTTAAAATCTGCTGTATTATATTATTTGGATACTAAATAAATTGTTTTTAAAATCTACTTTTCATCATTCAGTCAGTTTTATTTGACTGTTATCATCATTCTTTGCTTTCATTTATGTTAAAGATAGTTACAACATACGAGCCAGTTGAATCTCTTCCTAACTCAAATGGTAATTCATCTTCAACTATAACATACAAACGGGTAATAGAGTATGCGGCACAAACAAATATCCTAGGTGAGATATATTTTCTCTGTTTGTCTTCAGTAAGATGCTAGTATTTTGTCGATCTTTCACTACTAGGATGAACAACGTTTAAAAAAGTACTTAACACCGGTTATTATTTCTGATTTAGTTTTTTAGTAAATTTCTTTAGCGTGTTTTTACTTGAAGGTGTTTATATACGAATGATCTTATTTCGGTGAACGAATTATACCAATTATGAAACTTCGTTTTTGTTCTATATTTAAAATTTCCCTGAACCCTTTAATGAATTTATAGTTGTAAACTCATCTTATTCGTATATATCCCACATCATCTTTGTTTTTTATTCATTTTTGTATTGGTTGTTGGTATATCCATCAGGCGAGTACCAAGTGGAACAAGAGGTGCGTCCTGGATTCTACTGCTGGCTTCAGAGTTGGTCGTGGCTGTATCGACTACATATTCACCATTCATCAGATCTTAGAACGCGGGCATGCTTATCGGCACTTGACAATGACAGTTTTTCTTGACTTAAAAGCAGCATTTGACTCCGTAGACCGCGAGATTCTGTGGCAGTGTCTGTCATTGTAAACCTTGTAAAGACATTTTACTCAAACACTACTAGTTGAGTCAGAGCTTATGACGAACTGTCATCTGATTTTGCAACCTCAAGCGGTGTCTGTCAAGGCTGTCCACTTTCTCCATTTTTGTTTAACTTCATCATAGACCTACTGATGGAAATAACATTCTCGTCTACTGAATTCTCGGGTATTGATCTTCTTCCAGGAGGTCCACTTATCGACTTAGAATACGCAGATGACAGTCCTGTTTGGCGAAGACGCTGATAGAATGCAGAGTCTTTTGGTAGCACTAAGCAACAAAGCCAGAATGTTTGGAATGCGCTTCTCTCCCTCTAAATGCAAGTTGTTGCTTCAGGACTGGTCTGCGTCAACACCTGAACTAAGGATAGGGAGTGAAGTAGTCGAACGCGTTGACAACTTCACTTATCTTGGAAGACTGACAAAATCTCAACACGGATTCGAAAAGCTCGTTTGGCTTTTACCAACTTACGTCACCTATGGGGAAGGCGAGATATCCGTTTATCAATTGAGGGACGAATATACTGCGCAGCAGTTCGTTTTGTTTTAATTGACGGCTGAGAAACGTGGCCATTAATTGTAAAAGATACTCGTAAGCTACTAGTGTTTGACCACAGATGCGTTAGAAATACTGCTCACATCTGCTGGGATCACCGGGTAAGTAATAGTGAGATTAGACGCAGTGTATTAGGGAATGACGGTAAATCAGTTGATGAGGTTGTGAATCTTCATCGACTGAGATGGTTAGGACACGTGTTACGTATGCCTGAACACCGATTAACATGACGCGCAATGCTGATTAGTGTTGGGGATGGCACCAGTCCTTGACGTCACTAACTTCAGGTCTGATCCATATCGGTAGATGTAGACTACTTGGTTGGGGTCCGCACGACTGTCGTAACGAGTGGTTGGAGACTCTTGGTGACATAGTTCATAATCAATCACAATGGCATAGGTGTATACACTCTTTGTCTTTCCTTAAACAGTAAGATTAGAACTACTTTATACTTTTATTTCTACGAACCAATTCTTTCTTCCTGTATCATATGCAATTTTTCTTATATATATTACTACAATTCGAATAAGTACTTCTATAAATTTGGTGTTCACCTTGTTGTGCTAATGAGTTGTGGCAACTTGAACCAATGCATATATATAGCTGGTCCTACGTTGTAGCTGACTAACTGACTGGAATGCGACCAAAGAAGAGCCACTCATGAATTACACATACCATTTGAGTACTAGTGTGGTGTATGCTACTTATGTCTGTCGACGTTAGTAGTATGTTATACGAGTCGGAATGGGAAACCTGGCATCAGAAGTCTAAGAAGATCGAGCTAAAGATAATAGAAATAGAAACAGAAAGGAATTGTGAACTGGAAGAAGTATACAGAATGTGAAGGACAAATGACGGAAATCTCCAATAAAATATTCAGTGTTTGATTCTCATATTTTAATAAGATATTCTGTAATTTTGTATTAATTAAAACTTGGTTGTCCTCACGTGAGTGTCCGTCCACAACACTCGAACCAAATTCAATAAAACGTTATAGAAACGTAGTAAAACAGAAAATCCCTTACTCATTAAGGCATTGTTTCAAGTGAATAACAATGTTGAACAACCTCACATAATTCATGCATTTACAACACATTAGTTACTTGACTGTATCTACTCTTTTATTTTTTTCTTGTTGTTATTAGTAATGCTATAAAGTCTTTCTGTTTTTATTCAAATTTTTTTCCTTATAGGATTGTTTACTACTAGCCTTGTTATTGGTTTAGTTGCTGGGTCTCGAAGAGAAAAACTGCGTCCACTAATTGCATTATTTGAGTGCATTTCCGAAGTAATGACTGTTATTATTGAGTTTATTATCAAGTGAGGATTTTACTCTTGATCCCATATATTTGATTTTTTAACAAAACATTTTTTCAGTTTTTACTGAAGAAATTCATAGTTTTAGTCGAAATTTGAAATCATTTGTAAAATGATTCGCAAACAGAATACTGGATTTACTGTCGTCAATTTTTTTCCAAATCTCATGAAACTGCCCATATATAACCTGTCCGTAAACTATCCATGTAGTTTTTTATATTAGCAACAATATGTAAGTAATTATCCATTGTTAAGTTGTCAGCTAATTCATGTTTTCCTCTCAGGATTCAGGCTAGATAGCTCTCGAAAATCGATTTGAAAAAATCTATTCTGCATGTCATGGTAACAATTCCCATTAGTTTGTTGATATACATTGATCTTACATACAACAATAGCTTATCTTTAACACATCTTCAATTTAAATGTCAGTTAATGAAAATAATGCTAAGTGTAGTACAAAAAAATCTAAATATGTACACAGTCAATTAGTCAAAGCTCCACTGGAATATAATGTTTGGAATTAGTATTATTCTACTTAGTTAACAAAAGTACATTGCCAATCACTTGATGGAGCAATGGCTAAACATTTGAAACACTATTTGTAACCACTGAATTGTATAGTTGCAAGCCAGTCCTGCTGTTCAAGGAGTCAAGTAGTACCGCTAGATGCTTCACAAAATCTATTTAAATCCGAAATCAAGTGCAAGAAATTCTACTGAATCCCAATCGATGTATTCAATTGTTAATTAAGATTTGTTTTCTTTAAGAATTTTTAATATCTTTTTGAAGTTAAAACTGTTACTTAACACTTTATTTAGATTGCTCCCAATCGCCATGATTAGTTTAATCGCATATGCAATTGCACGAATGGAAAGAATCGGAGATAATTTTATCGCTTTAATTCTGTTCGTTGCATCGTCAATTACATTTCTTTCAATCATTGTACTTGTGATCATGCCAGTATTTTTCTTCATAGCAGTAAGACGAAATTTATTTCGCTTCTATTACTATTTATCTGAGCCTATATTGACTGCTTTCAGTTCGACCAGTTCGTAAGTTTGTTGTTTGACTTTTTATTCTGATCAGTTATTTTCTTTAGATCTGTTGGAATTTATTATATTTTTATAGGACAAAGGAGTTAAAGTTACAAGCAGTCTCTTCAGATTCTCGACTAGTTACTCTATGAAACTCAACTATTTACTAGGTATTAACTTCACATCTTATTGATTCATCTGGTGGAATATCTTGTATAGTTGCATAGAAGCTTGTATATAAACTTAACATGTGTAATTTTCAATCATTAACATGTAACTTTCATTATAAGACTAGTTTATGGTATATTCTTAGGATTTCACCTGAAAAGCTAAACATTAAGAATGTTTTAAGTCACGTCATACATGAGACGGATTCCTATAATACCAGGTAATCAACATGGATTTATACTCGACCTGTTCGTTTATAATCCTCCGGAATGATCTTAACGTTTTCTACCTCTCCTAGACAGGATGTGTGCATACACACCAACCTAGTTAAATTCTTGGAATTCCAATTTCGCTCTCTCACTTTTGTTAAATCATCCCAGCTACAGAAATTAAGCGAAGAAGACCTCTAAAACGAGCTATAAATACATGATCAACTGAATAACTACAAATTTTTGAAATATTTGTTGCTTGCAAGATTAAGGGAGTTATACAATAATCCCACTGTGATTGATTTTAAAACATATCACTCACTTTGCAACCATGAATTTTATTTGTTTCTTGGAATTTGATTTGATATCTGACAATTATACTCAATAAATCAGCTGTTAAACCTTTAAGCTAGTACAATAGTTTGATAAAAATACACTAAATCCCTCATCCAACTCTTTACTCTAGCTGTTTCAGCGCTTTTGAAAGTAAAGTATGTCTCATTTGCCGAAGTCGATAAAAATACACAAACTTTGTCTTTCATTATCCAACTCCATAAGTTCCATTTCCCGTCTTTTCCTTTACTTTCTCACTACTGTTAGTATCGTTTTTTTCAGTCCGTTGATTTCTTTTTTATCGATTTACTCTTATTCCATTTATGGAAATCGTGACTACTAGCCCTTAAATACTCATACTATATACTATACTTTTTATTTATCTATCTTATCATTTCAGGCTTAACTACATCGTTCATTCACTGGTTTTTTCATATGGCTTATTTTTATCTGTGTTTAAAATCCCAAACCACATTGTCTTTTAATTGCATACTAAAGCGGAACATATTGTTATCCAAGTGCCTGATGTATTCGACTAGGAGTATAAGTAACGTACTGTGGCGAATGTAGAATGAGTATTTTTTTACTTGTATTTCATCAGTTACTAATCTATCATACTGTTATTATTCCTCAGTAAAGTGAATGGACAGGTTCACCCAGACACCTTGCTTCTGGTCATTAGAATAGACATTAATGCACAACTTCATAAAATGGCATACATGAAGTATTTTTGTCTTAAGTTGCCAAATAATAGTCTCTCAGTATATTTAAGCGATAGAAGTACCGTGTTACGAAACGTCGTCATAATGACAAAGAGACAGGTATGAGTGAGTACGGACATCTTAAATAGTTTCTACCTAAGTCTACTTAAACATTCATTTAAATGACATGATTAAATTTCCAGTATAGGGGTTTTGGAGATTATTAAGTTTTTGATTGATATCATGAACCGATTGGTGTTAGGCCACCGTTAGAAACCTGGAAGCACTGGATGACCGGCTTAGTGGTCCAGTAGGTTAAGCGTTCGCGCGCGAGACTGAAAGCCCTGAGTTTGAATCCCGCTGGCGGGATCGTGAGTGCGCACTGCTGAGGAGTCCCAAAATAGAACGAAACGGCCGTGCTTCCAAGTTTCCAATTGTGGTCTAACACCAATCAGTTCATGATCTCGATCAAAAACTTAATAATTAAATTTATCAACATCTGAATATATCCTCTACACTCAACTTGCCAGATCGTGCTTTAGCGTTCGGTCTTTGTCAGGTTTGCATTTAGCCTGAAGGTACCTTTTGTGCTGGGGGATTGTGAGAAGCAGTATGTGATAGAACCTGTAAGAGAATAAAATAAATGAAAAAATGAGCCAACAATTCAGTGGGTTTATAGAATGCACTTAAATTTAATAATGAAATTGATCGATAATAATCAGAATTAGCACAAATATGAAATTAAAACAATCTGATAATCAAACCTAGAAGTCGTTAGCCTACAGTTTCCAATGCATTACAGTACAACACATCAATGTAACGGCTTCTAATAAATTTAAATAATGTTTTTTTCCGTTAAAAAATATCTTCCAGTTTAATTGCTCTTCCACAACTTTTTCAAGTTTGTGATCTTTATGGAATTGAGTCAGATTTAGTACGAACTGTAGCACCATTTCTCACAAGCTTTAATGCAAATGGATCTGCTGCATTTATTGCATCTGCTGTTTGTTTTGTTGCCCAATTAACTAAACAACGTTTAAATGCTGGTCAGTTTATTGCAATTGGGTAAGTTAAAATATTTTTTCTTTTATTGTTGTTAAAATTACTTTCATTATAAAAAACAAACGAACAAACACATACATAAATATGATAGCTGCACACAAACGGTCATCGTTAAAGTTACATTTTAATAAAACAATGATTTATTTCGTTTGTTGTATTTCCAAAATTCCTTGAATGTAACTTCAGTATTAAAGATTGAGAAGCAGCTCTCGACTTTGTCTCATGTTTCTTCGTTTTTTAGTCCAAGATTGCATTTATAAAATATGTAGTAATAAATGTTTTGATTTTAAAATAATTATGGTCATTTCAAATCTCTACACTGTCAATTACGTTTCGGTAATATCAATGCACATCTACTATTAATTACCTACTAACTGAATGGTTGAATCACTGTTAAATTACATGAAGTAACACATTCTTTCGATGTTACAACACAAAGAAAAGTACTAAATAAAGGATAAAAACTAGAAAAAATGTACATCAGGAAACAGTGGATGAATGAAAGAGGTTTCTATAATCCGTAAGCACAAGTTGTGAAACTTGTATATTGTAGAATTAGTTTCATAGCTTAGCTGTATCGTGGCTTCTTCCACTATCCCGCTCTCTTTCTCTCTCTGTAGGCAATATGGAAAGAGTCGAGATATATATCAACTCTATTGACTCAATACATGTTTCAGTTTTACCAGTTAATACACACCTACAACAAATTTAGTCTCCTTATTCAAACCCCATTTACTTACTGTGTATACTAACTGTCACACAAAAGTATTCGTAACCTTTCGATGGCACAAAACTCTAATGACCATCTTTCAAGGTTCACCACCATGTTTCATACTCGATCTTCATATCCGAATAAATATCTTGGAAATAACACAACTAATGTAAGTTATAAAGTGTCAATTGATATTTTACCATGATTACCGAGATTCACCAGATACTTAGCTCAACATAGCTCCTTTACTATTTGATAAAGTCAAACACACCATCTTCCTAGTTTTTTCTAGACGTAGGTAGAAACCTGCTTTGCAGTATAATGAGTTATCTAATAGTGTGAAATTTATGTCAAATATCCTCAGTTTTTCATCTAAATTGTTCATATACCTTCCAGTTTTCTCACTTTATCTAGCAGGACGATGACGAATTTGTTTCTTTGAAAGAGTACTGAAACTCTTAACAAATTGTTTAGCAACTTTGCTCATTGTTATCATGACTTCCCTTTTTTCTCTTTTTACATGAACTGTCACAGCTCACTATTTCTGTTTATCTAATTCGATCATGCCTGGGTTTTAGAGTTGAAATTAAACAACTCAATATATGTAGCAGTGTGTAGATTCACCATACTACCAAACAACTAAGTTCATTCAACTAAAACTGGTTATTTTCTACCACTATATATTGAGCATAACTTTCTAAACGAAAAATTAAAAAGTCATCGCACAGCTAAATAATTTGTTTCTTAGGTCATTTATTTCTTCATTGTTTTGGAAAAGTACACCACTTCCCTGTGTTAACCAAAACTTCAGTATACTGTATTATTTCATATCTTGATAACATTCACTGGAATTTTTTCGATAACTTCAAACTCTATCGTATAAAAATGTGATGCAAGACATTAAGCTTTATCTCTCCTCAATTACTTTCACTAATATAATATAAAATATTTTCATAATAAATCAATTGCGTATGACAAATGGCATAAGTCTGATATTGAGGACGCAACTATTTATCCTTGAATCCCTTGTACTTAAATTATCGAAATACCTACTTTTGTATACGCAATTTTCTATCCAAGCGAAATAAAAAGGTTTTCTGACCATCTGTTCTGTTTTTTTGATACTCACTTATTGGGCTTGTACGCAATTACAGGTTGGCTACCATTATATTTGTCAGATGAGCTTTAATAATTTTATTCAGTATTTTCGCCATCACAATACAATTATTTACAACTGAGTGGTGCTTTTCTCGCCCTACTTAATTGCTGTTTTATTTACAAGATCCAATTTCTGTTATTCACTTCAACTCACCTAAGAATTTTAGCGAGTTTATGTCTCAACTTTCTAGTCACAACAAAGCAATCAGTCAGTTAGCCATAAACGATGAACGTACTATATATATGCCCAGTTGGCATATCACATCAGCATAGCATAATAAAACCATCAAAACGTATTCCAAAACTGTAGAATTAGTAGTAATAGTAGCAGTAGCACCAGTGATGATAAAAAAAGACGTCATAGAGAAGAAAGAATGAGGTCAAGTAATAAAATGTATAAAACGATTTTGATCTAAGGGAAGTTAGTGAGTGAATGGATCTAAATTTTCGAGATTTCTTCGGACAATCAAACCACTAGGACTAGTAAAGCTTCCAAAATAAGTGAAGTGGTGGATGCGTCCAACAATTTTACTCGCAACCATTAGTTTAGGGGTTGACACTAACAAATTTTTTACAGTTATGAGAAAAACGCATAGTAAACACTCTTGGATTGTTGCTCAGTGCAATTAAAAGACAGAATTTGCCAGTTTTCAATCAACTAAACTGTCATCTTTATCTTCTAAATACATAAGTGAACTTCCTGGTAGACCACTCCCTAAAACTGTAAGAGAAAAAATCTTTATCTGTGAAACTCTTCTTATGACAAAGTTGGGTAAAAATGTGAGAAACTATGATAAACACCACTTGAGATTGACAATTCGACATAAGCTCTAACGTGACCAAATAGTGTTCGAGTAAAAATGAACCTTCACAAGATATATGTACTCCTTCAGTATATTATTTAATGACAAATAGTAAGAGGTCAGTATGTCTCAAACAAACAATGTCATATTTAATATATGATATTCATAATCATCTCTCTATTTTATTGAAATTTGTCTTGTCGTTCTGGTTTATATTTGTCATATTTAATTGTGTTTTGTTTCGCCCTCCTCTGAATCTAGATTTTTATCTGGTGTCAATGTGATGGCACTGCCTGCAATTCCAAGTGCAAGTATTATAACTGTTATTTTAATAACACGCGCATTTGACATTTCTGAATCTACCTCCGTATCATTACTTTTTGTTACTGAGTTTATTGTGTAAGTATTGGAATTCTGTGTGTTTATGTATTTGTGTTCAATTTCAGTTTTATTTTGCTACATACTACCACCGCTGTCTTTAATGTAGTGGTTAAGGTTCTAAATTTTAGTAGTTATAACTCTTAGTTAATTGATGTTGTAGTGTTCCAGATATATATGACAAATGATCTATAAAGCATACCTTTATTTCAAATTAATGCGTAATAACCATTTCATATTAATCAGAACTATTAAAATGAACTTTTTGTAAACAAAAAACTAGACATAATCTCCATCAAAAATTGGGGAAAGAAACTTTACTTCGGGTATTGTTGTCATTCCTGAACAAAGAAATGCTTATGAAAATACGTGGAGCTGTGGCTCAATGATCAAGGTGTTCGGTATTCAGCCAATAAGGTGCTTATTTAAACCCCACTTTACCTGCTTCAATTTGATCAATCGGTTAATATCACCAGCACTCGTGCTTAAAGTGTGGCTTTGAAATTAAGTACATAAAGCAATGAGTATGTAGAAATATACATCATCTTGAACTAAAACTCTTAAATCACTGTAAACGGTCAACTTAAAATAATTTGTCCAATTCATTAAAAGTAAGTTTACTGGACAAAATCTAAGATATCTCTTTTTCACTTTTTAAATTCTATCACTATCTTATATTTCTGTTTGTCTTCATTGCTATAATTACATACACGTAAAAGGACTCGTGTATTTCTTCTTTTTTTGCAAGAAATATTATCGTCCACAAACTTTATATTGATTGTTTACAAAATAAAATCTGACGGTTAAACAAATAGAAATAAACGCTATGTATGTATGATTATACTCTCTGGTATTGTTACGATCAATATCTTTTTAGTAAGTGAATAAAGAATATAAGAGGATGCCAATGACTTTTGCATTCTATACAATGCGTTTTTTTAATAAAAATTTTACTCTTATTGACGACAGCTCCACCATCATAGCTTGTAATTATAAATAAAGTGTCAAGTGGTTTCTGTTACATATTGATTATAATTGCAATAATTTACTAATGTTATGATTGAAATATTCTTTTGAATGATCAATCACAGACAATATGATTAAAATTACTATATCATTAGTTTGCTTTACTTCAACTCAATTTATAATCTGACACAAATTTATGGTGTGTTATTGTCTTTTACGATTACATTACTAAGATCCTTTCCTACACTAAAATTTTAGACTGATTACTACTCATCTACGAATCCTTACTAATTGATAGACTTCTATTACGAAAACATAGGTAACTGATAGGGATTCTGGTATGAAATGGCCAAACTACAAATGCACTGACGGGATCAATCTTTTAAATGATGACCGAATCGATTTCAGAGTATATAACCATTGAATAACTAATTTATCAGCCTAAAAATGTTATTTATGACAATATTTAGCCAAACTGGTATAATTAAGTTAGAAATGACTAATCAAGGATAAAAATGGAACTTCATGATGTAATTGATAATTTTTTCACTTCTGTCTATCTTACCATGTTGATGCGGCACCTTATATTTTCCTGTTTGGGTTAATTATATAATGCATTGTTGTGTCATTGTTTCTGTTCGATCTTCCGGCATCTTCCAAATTACTTGAACTTTTAAGTATCACTCAATATATAAAATACAGAACGTGATTCAAGCACCCTAATTAATCTTTCTTAAAACTTGTGGTTTTAGTAAAAACTACTAACAATCCTAAGACATCAAGGATTAATTGTTGACCGTTTCCTCACTTACTTTATCTCAAATGACATCGTCTCATTTGTATAGAATAGCTTCAACTGACTCATGATTTCAATCTGTGAAAATTTAAGCACAACCAGTTTTTTTTTTAAATATCAAACAATATTTGGTTATCGTATAAGATTGTGCTATATACACTTTTTTATCACAAACTGACCTCATCCGGAAAAAATACTGAAAAAAAAGCACAAATTAGGAACAGAATCATTCAAATACAGATGAATGATCAGCGACCAAATAGTTAATAAATAGAGGAATTTAAGATACAAAAGAAGAATATGTGGAAAAAGTTGGATACGTATATGTCACTGCTAACAATCTAATTTATCATCATATATAATCGTTAACTGTTGAACTCTAACATATTCACCTAAAACAAACAATTGACAGATATCATAGCTACGATTTGGTCTTGATGAAGCTGCTTAATCTTTTATTCTAACAACTACGTAATTTTATCTGGGATATGGTTTTATTTCGTTGGTTGCTTTATAATAACTTCACATTACGTGTCACAGCACTTCACCGTACATTTCCAAATCTTTTTTCCGATGTTGTAACCGTTCACTGTTAGAAAAATCAGTTCCGTTGCTACTTTTTACACATTCCACTTCTGTTCTAATGAGGCATTAATAATGTAACCTTTAATGCAGTTCATTACCTTTAAATATATATATTATGTATAGTTTTGGACTCTAATCAAATAATTTATTTTAGAACCAATGTATACTAATTTATTTTATAAACAATCACACAGTGATTACAGTTGGTTGGTCGTAATTTCAATAGTTGAAATCATGATTCAATTGAAGCTAGACCACCATGAAAAACCTTGAAGCACTGGACGGCCGTTTCGTCCTAGCATGGGACTCCTTCATCATGTGTTGACTAGTGACTGACTTCAAGAGGCATTTCCTGGAGTTCTGGTGAGAAACTGTGACCAGTGGAGTTCGACCAGGTTTGTTGTGAGATATCAGCTCACTGAACACAATGGTGTACGATGGCGCAATTTCGTGGATTAGTTGAACTTGGACATTATTATCGTTGGATGTCGGCTAGATCAGTGGTCTAGTGGTTAAGCGCTCGCGCGCGATACTGATAGGTCCTGGGTTCGAATCTCGCGAGGTGTGGGGTCGTGGATACACACTGCTGAGGAGTCCCATACTAGGACTAAACGGCCGTCCAGTGCTTCCTAGGTTTTCTATGGTGGTCTAGCTTCAATTGACTCATGATTTCAACTATTGAGATTACTGAAATCTCCACAAAACCCCTTCTGATAATAATCGTAATTTATTTAGATATTTTCGTATGTTTTTTGTCACTTGCCGCTGTACTGAATACATAATTAAATCATTTTAAATCGAAATGGCGGCTATTTTTCGTTTATTCTCTTTGAATACTCACCTTTATCTATGTGCGCTTTTTATGCTAGCTCTTTTGTATTAGGCCTTTTCAGGGTAAAACACGGTAGACAAAAACTCTGAAAGTCTGCACTTCTCTATACAAATTGAACTTTTTGCTACTTAGTGTAATACCTTCATCCGACTAAATTATTCAGTAAAAAAGTGTGTTGGTTTATTCTAATCCACCAGTTTTTGTAATTCTCCGATATGTTAATTTAATAACAGCTGATTGATCCATAATTTGAATCTATTTGTTCTCAATTATTTAAATATCTTAACAACATACCTTTTAATTTAAAAAAAAAAACAAAGTAAATACCGTGATTTGTTTTTGCATTTAAATGAATAAACCTCCACATGTTTCTAATAAATGAAAGGCAATTTAGTTTTTCCTAAAATTAATTAATAGGTGTTAAATATATTTGTGATAATTAAATTAATAATATGGTTATATTGCTCTGGTAGAATAACTAGTTACCTTCACGTTATATAATATGCTTTTCAAAATGTAGAACTTTTATTTATTTTCCTATTCGAATAATACCATTCAAGGTGCTACGTAAAGAGTTGTGTTAAGCGTTTAATTAAGTAGTGTATTTCTATAATATTTATTGGTATTCAAAATGAGGTAGTCAAGATTGTAGTTCAACTAAATCATGTTGCATTTCAATTATCATTTATTCTTAACTGATTACCTCAATAAATTCCTAATTTAGTTTGTTTCAATTTCACACATTTTAATCCCTTGATAAATTTACATAAACAAGGTTAGTAGATTAACGTAAATTTATTGTATTTCAAGTCTTCTCATCAGCTGCAAACGATCTAAATCTACAATTATTTATTTTATTATAAAAAAATAGGCTGGTATCCCTTAATCAACAAAATAAAGTTGGGAAAATGTCAGAAACGGGATGAGAACACAAAATATTTAACATTGTGGTTAAGAATGACTAGTATTTATATGTTGATAGCAAAGTCATATAAAGAAGAAAATAATATAATAAATAATAATTGAGCGATGAAATGAGAAAACATAATTCTTTTCGACAAATGGTTTATAATATAACCCAATCACCTAGTTGATATAAAATTCAAGTTAACATTGTTAGTGAATATTAGTGGGATCTTTTTTCAAACAGAAATTAAAATAAAAAGATTATATAATCGGCAACATTCAAATTTACTCTAATTCTGCATTCGCTACTTCCTAAACTCCCAATATTCTATTGTACAGTTCAATGTTAAATTCGTTGAAAAGAGATCCCTTTGCTGAACTTCGTGCTTTTAAACAACTTCTGTTGACTGCTGGTAATTGTCTGTCGAACTAATTTAGATATTTTTCTTGGTTCTATAAATCTTTTGCAGTAATATTGATACATTTGTTGAATTGTTCATTAAATTGTTTCCTGTCACTTGTGAACAATATTTTCTTCATATTTTTTTGTTTTAGTGATCGATTACGTACCGTTGTAAATGTTATGAGTCATGGTACTTGTGTTCTATTCATTCATATGAAGTTACACCAGGTGAGTTCTACGTCAAATAATCAAAATCATTTGATTCAAACCACAGAAGTTATCAAGGATTCAGCATCATCCAACAATGTATTATAGCTGCTGTTGAACGATTCATTGATTAAAAGAAAATAGTGTTCGGTTGTTGTTTTTTTCTTGCTTGTGTTTTATTGTTTGTTTTTTCTGTTCACCCAAGTACACCCTTGTATCATTTATGTTTTACCTATTGGTCTTTTCACTGTGATAACTAATTTGTTTAATTTATGTTGAATAACGCCTACCCTTTGTTATTGATATGATAGAAAGAAAAGTCAATTTTCCATTGATTTACTCATTATGAGTTTTGTTCAAAATTACTTCCGTTTTGATTCAGTGTAATGATTACTCAATGTAGTATTTGTTTTCTTTTCTCGTATGATATTTTATTCCGTATAATATGCGATATTCTTGTATTCCATTGACATGAACTATACTCAGTCTGTGATTTGTTATAACTCTAAGTATTTTTCCTATATGTGATTTCATCCTAATTATTAATCAAAATGAGCGTGCAATCAATATATAAATGAGTGTATTTTCTACTAGAATGGTCGTCGTCGTCAGTGTTTTGGGGTTAGTAAATCATCACTTATACTAGTCTTGTATTCTTACTTTCGCGTCGTGGGAATTGCAGAGGTCTCTCGTTCCGAGTATAAGTGATAAGCGTTTACTAAATAACAATCAGCGACGACCATATACAAAAATGTAGCATTAAAAGAGCCAAGACAATAAGCATTTAAACGACAAATTAGAACAGTTATGTTTACCAAAGATGTATTTTTATTCCAAGTTTGTGATATTTTCATCAAAAAGGAAAATTTTTCTAGATCATATTATACGATGAATAAATTCGAATAAAACTTGATGAGACTTCGACTGGTTTTTACAGGGTACGAACTAACCAGTGGCTTCATTACATAAACTTCTAGCCAGGTTTACTTTTCATTTTATTTACAGACTGTCATAAAGATTGTTAAAAGTTTACTTTTTTGTTCTGTATATTTTTTGTCATATATTTTCTTTAATTTTCAAGAATAAACATACTTAGTTCATTATTCTATTATTTTTGTTTGATAAGTACATGTATTTTTCGTTTTCGTATGATCAAGTGATTTTTGTTGAGTGTAGAACAAATCATTAGAATTCTTAACTTCGATGTAACATTAGTCTTATTCAATAAAATATAAACATTTGTAAGTAGAGTATTATGGATAAGTCTTTCGTTTTATGGTCAGTATAACAGTGTAATACTTCTTCTTTAAATAGTATTCTATTCGAATTAACTAGTTAAATGGGAAGGGTCCAATATATTTATCCATTGTTATATTAGTTTACAATTTTGAAATGCTTCAGCGAGTATTTGTAAAATTCAATAGAACACAATAGGACGAAACGGCCGTTCAGTGCTTTCAACTTTTCCATGGTGGTCTAACTTCAATTGACTCATAATCTCAACTATTGAAATTACTACAATCTCCACAAAACCCGTTTTGATGATAGAATATTGGTTAAACTAATAAGTCGAAAGAAAAAACAACACTAAATTGTGCTAAATCTTTTTTATCATCATCATCATCATCAAAGTTATCAGTGTTAAGAAATATAAACTCATTATGTCACTTATTCACCATACAATATAAAAATCACATAATGATTGTCAATTACATTTTACAGATTGAATTATATAAACGTAGCATAGAATAAGAGTTTATTGTGATTTTGTTTTAAATATTTAACAATCAATTTTGCCACGAAAAAAAAACGGGCATTATTTACAAATTTCTTTTTCAATGCAAAAATCATATTTGATATTTTGTCTGTATGGCATAAAATAGATTAACTGAAAAAAATCATCCATAAAATTATTGAAAATAATTCCCATTAAAAATAGAGAAAAAAAAACGAAGTTGAGCGAAGGGATCTCTTTTCAACGAATTCATTATCAAGCTGTACAATCGTATATATATGAAAATTTCTTTGTTAAAGTACTAATTCCGTGAGGAAATGTAAACACGAACAACCAAGATTACGTAGTACGAAAAATGACCATAGACTTAGTGAATATAATAAGATGATTAAAATGTTTTTGTTACAATAATTAAAGGTCATAGAGGTGTAAAAATAAATAAATAAGGTGATATGATGAGTATTTATGAATAAAATAATGAGAATATAAGACATAAGTAAGGCGGAATGCAATAATAATAATTAAGGCCAAGGTAACGATAAGACGTACTTCTTTTGTACGCACAGTTCTGGTTCAAGCTCATGGATGGCAAGAGCTCCGACTATTTTTTTTAAGAATTGAATAGGAAGAAATCTAGGCAGATTTGAACGAATCATATAAACAACCTTAAGATCAAAGTGTGGATCCGTAGAATGATTACAGTCGATTAGGTGTTCAAGTATAGAACTCCTAACTGCTTTCCTTTCACCCTTATAGAACCTAACTAGGATATGTTCCCGTATCCGAGTTGAAAGCGAGCGCTGGCTACGGCCAATGTACCTTGCTCCACAAGAGCAGGTGAACTGGTTGATACACATGGAGGCGACCATACGCGGAAGCTTATCTTTTACGGATACAGAAAATAAGTTCTTACTAGTGGAGGTTATTCGCAGTTTAGCCGCATTAAATGTTCTTTTAATCGCTGTTGTTAGACGATTTTTGATTACGTCTGATGTTCGATCACCTTTAGATTCCAGACTTATATAAAGGTTTTTCTTTGGGACGGAACAACTAGGTTTCCTGTCGCAACTACTATTCATATTCTTCTCTATGGAACGGGCTGGGTAGCTATTTTTCGTTAAGGTTTTCTTGAGGAATACGAGTTCTCTGTTAATGCATTCCGTACTTCATATCCGATGTATTCGATGACGTGAAGAAACATTTTTCGCTTGTGACGATACTATTGATTTAGAGGATATCTTACACACCTTTAACTCATGCCACCCTTCCATAGACTTCACGTTAGAAAGGGAGCGAGACCAATCAATCCCTTTTCTCGATGTACGTATGGTGAGAAGGAATAAAGGTTCTTTGAAAAGATACGTCTTTAGAGAACAAGCGTGGAATGGCCAGCTAACCAACTTCTATAGCTGGGTTCCGTTAAGTAGAAAGAGAAACCTCAATCATTCATGCAAAATGTTGCTTCAGGATTGGGTCGCATCAACACCCGAACTAATAATAGTGAGTTAAGCAGTTGAGCGTATCTACCGCTTCACTTATCTTGGAAGTTTCATCAACCCTTATTGCCTGGTGTGTGACGAAATCTCAGCACGGATACAGAAGGCTCGACTAGCTTTTGCCAACTTGCGTCATTTATGGGGTAGGCGAGATATCCGTCTATCAACCAAAGGACGTGTTTACTGCGCAGTAGTTCGTTCCGTCCTACTTTATGGCAGTGAAACATGGCCGGTAAGAGTAGAGGATATTCATAGGTTACTAGTATTTGATCATAGATGTCTTCGAAACATTGCTCGTATATCCTGGGACCATCGACTAAGTAATGCAGTTGTTAGGAAACGGGTACTAGGTAAGTATGGCCAATCAATTGAAGTAGTGAAACTTCATCAGTTGAGATGGCTGGAACACGTGTTACGTATGCCCAACCACCGATGTACGACGTTTTCTGGTGTAGGAGTAGGTTGGAAGAAAGCTAGGGGCGGTCAGATCAAGACATGGCACAAATCCATGAAGTCACTGACAAGTAGACTGAGCCATGTTGGTAGGTGTAGACTACGTGGTTGGGACGTCGAGACGATAGCAACCGGTGGTTAGAGACCTTGAATCACATGGCTCGAAATCGTTTGCAATGGAGCAGGTGCATTCACTCTTTGTGTTCTCTCAAATTTTAATCTTCTGCATTCTTCATGTCATGGATTATGCTCGTTAAATAATATCTTCAAACCCTAATATTTCCGATTACTGCTTATACTCTTACTACCTCTACCCCTATGTGATTTGAATCGATAACTGCATCTCTGTGTTAATGTGGTATGGCAACTCGCATTGATGTACGTAAGTACAAAGTCCCACGTTGTTACTGACTGACTGATTTAGTATAATATCAACATACTATTTAGTTTGACATATGCTGTACAGTATTAGCGTCACTTGTTGAAAAACGTTAAGTTAGCTCTTAATTTGTGAATTCGGCGTCAACCCAACCTCCCTATAGTTATCACATCGGATTTAAGACCAAGTTCTAACAATAACTGTAGCATTTGTCTAAGCACTACATAATTATAGTAGCTAAGACGTTTTTGAATTTTATTCAAGTGACGAGCTACCAACGTAATATTACTTACAGCTGATTATAAAAGTTGTTTCGATCCGGAATGTCGTACTACTTACTAATTAAGCTTTATGCCGCTTAGGGCCTATTGTGAACTATATTTACAATCAACATTGTCGTGCTGTTTGTAAATATTTAGTAGTATAAAAAATACTATGTGACAAAATACTTTTTGATTGAGATCATGAACCGATTGATGTTAGACCACCTTTGGGAACCTGGAAGCATTGAACGGCCGTTTCGTCCTATTGTGGGACTCCTCAGCAGTGCGCATTCACAACCTCTATACTAGTAATTAACATGTGCTCACTAGTGACTAGCTTCGTGAGGGAATTCTCGGAGTTCTAGTGAGAAGCTGTGACCAGTGGAGATAATCCATGTCGGGTAGAGACAGGTATCTACCTCAGTACAATGGAAGATGGTCGCGCAACTTTGTGGATTGGTTGATGTTAGACACTATCAATCCTGGATGCCAGCTCAGTGGTCCAGGAGGTTGAGCGTTCGCGCGCGAGACCGAAGGCCCTGGGTTCGAATCCCGCTCGCGGGATCGTGGATGCGCACTGCTGAGGAGTCCCACAATAGGACGAAACGGCCGTCCAGTGCCTCCAGGTTTCCAAAGGTGGTCTAACATTAATCGGTTCATGATCTCAATCAAAAACTTAATAATCTTCACAACCCCTATACTAGTAAAATACTTTTTATCATTTCAATTTGAAACCGTTTAGATTATGCTGTCGTTAATAATTTTGACTGAAATTTGATTAATCATGGTTAACATATGGGCATCCTGTGCTGACTGCCTCTATATTAGCCATTATGGCACAGAATGATAAACAATAGATCGTATTCGGACGCCCATTTCATCCACTGCTAACCACATCCCATCTGTTCTATGGTTTTATTATGTTGATAGAGCTTATAAAGATTATGTGAAACAATTACAGCTTTTCTAAGTTTTGCTTAACAAATCTTTAGTTTTAAGCAAAAATAAAACGAATTCCCTGCGGCTTTGTCTCAAAAAACTACTTTTTTCTTAACTGTACATAAACTTTATTTCTAATAGAAAAAAAGAAAATTGAATGTAATTACTTACAAAGTAGGGATCATGTGAAATCACTTGAAAAAAGAGAAAACAAAAACAAAAGGAAGAGTAAAACGGTTATTTTGTTTAGTTTCCAACAAATTTTGTTTATAATAAACAAAAAAAATGAGACAATCTATCAAAAAATGGGGATGCGGAAGGAAAGGATGATATATATAAGCAAAAAGTCATGGATACGCGCATATAAAGTTACTGAAATCAATTATGATACTAAAATTTTGTTGACGTCTTTAAAGTTCTATAAAAAAAAATAAATAAATTCAAGAATGAGTGAAATTGGATAAAGATGTAAATAAACGTTAGTCTACAGTCTTATTTTGTTTATTTAATGGATTTAACCACTAATTAAAACAAAGAAAGTGAATATAAAGAAAGACTTAAAATTTAAATCATTTTTATTAGTTTAGTGTATGTAAATGAAAAGAATATCGTGGATATCTATTTAACAAACTGATAAACAAAAGAAAAAAAAGCAGCTGAAAAATTCTTTTATTTAATAAGAGATTCAACTTGTATTCACTGGAATATAAAATAGACGATCTGTTGTAGTTAAAGAGTTTGAATTATTATTATTCCTCCGATGATGATGTTCCTGAGTGTCAACAGCATAATGATGCTGTTGATGTGACTGTTGTAATTGATGCTCCTGATGATGAAGATGAGGATAGTTATGTTGTTGATTGAAAGCTTCATCTTCATAATAACCACTAGTAGTATTATTACAATTAGTTAATCTATTTATCATTTGACATGATGATGTTGATACTGAGGCAAGAAATGAATTATTATCAAGGCACATTGAATCTTTATGATGT